TTATTTAATAAAAATAAAGTTTTAATTTAAAAATTATGTGAAATTATTAAAAAAATATTAAAACATCAAGGATTAAAAGTCCTAACAGAAAAATTTTTCTTTTAAAACAAAAAGAGCACAATTCCTAATAAAACCAGCATAAGGAACACTAAATTTAGGATATTAGTTCTTCCTAAATGTACGTTAGCATTCAAATTAAAACTTAAAAATTCTTTTTTTTTTTTTTTAAGAGACAGAGTCTTACTTTGTCACCCTTGGTAGAGGGCTGTGGCACCACAGCTCACAGCAACCTCCAGCTCTTGGGCTTATATGATTCTCTTGCCTCAGCCTCCCGAGTAGCTGGGACTACAGGCACCTGCCAGAACACTCGGCTATTTTTTTGTTGTTGCAGTTTGGTCAGGGCTGGGTTTGAACCCATCACCCTTGGTATCTGGGGCCGGTGCCCTATCCACTGAACCACAGGTGCCACCCTAAAACTTAAAAACTCTTATAGCAGAATGCTATAAAGATCAAGTTAACATAAATTCACTTTATTCTCAAGTAATATTATGTATATGATTTAAGATTAAATTCTGTTCAAGCAACTCTCAAATTCAAATACCATGGCTTATCACATCCACTTATCATTCTGTACATTACACACACACACACTTAGAAGTACTTTCCAGCCTTTCATGGGTCCCAGTCCTAAATACATCTAGATGTTTTTTTAGTCTCACAATGTGAGGTAGATTATATTTACATTGGATAAAATTCCCTTTTCTTTTCCCAACATTTTCCTAAAGGGGAAAGTTAATTTTCTATAGGGGAAGTTAATTTTTATTTCAAAAGATTCAATTATTTTATTATTAAAAAAGAATACCCTCAAATACTTTATTTTTAACCTACAAATATACATATGACAAAGTATTTCTAAGCTTTATAATTAACAGGTCAGTGGCAATATATTCCTTCAGATTTTCAATTTAACTATATATTTTAAATCTCCTAGTACCACATAATGATGCTAATATAGCAGTGATCACTTTTTCTTCTGTCCCTGGAGGTACATTTCTCCTAATTTCCTCCTTTACTCAAGTCAAAGTCAATGTAATTTTTTTTTTTTTTTTTTTTTGAGACAGAGTCTTACTATGTCGCCGTTGGTAGAGTGTCATGGTGTCACAGCTCACACAGCAACCTCAAACTCTTGGGCTTAAGTGATTCTCCTGCCTCAGCCTCCCAAGTAGCTGAGACTACAGGCACCTGCCACAAAATTTTAATTTAAAAATTATGTGAATAATTTTTTTTGTGGTAGTAGTCCTTGTTGTTTGGCGGGCCTGGGCTAGATTCAAACCCTCCAGATTCGGTGTATATGGCTGACATCCTAGCCGCTAAGCTATAGGCGCTGAGCCTATGTATTTATTTTTATAAACCATTCCAATGTTCATGTTCACACTGTCTAAAAAGATTTTTGGGGAAGTCAGCATTTATTCCAAAGAACTTTTTTAAGGTCACCATCATTAACACTAAAGAATATGAATTAGTATGGACAGTCATAAGTTTACTAAATTCAGTGATTATGATTAGGTAGTTATTGGGTTGGCTACTGGGCAGGATTCAAATTCCTATTTCCAACCCTCAATTAGATTAAAATCTAACACAGTGAAATACCCACAGTAAAAAGTCAAAGTAACATTAGCAATCAAGCAAAATCTGTGAACACATTGCTAACTACAAAATTCTTACGCCAAGTTCAAAGTCAGCCCAAGAAAAACACCAATCATTGGAACTAAGTTCAGTTCCAATGATTCTACTCGACTCTACTACTTCATTTCATTTCCCCAGGATTCATTTAGAACAGTGGTTCTCAACCTTCCTAATGCTGCGACCCTTTAATACAGTTCTTGTGGATCACGGCCCACAGGTTTAGAACCGCTGATTTAGAAGCTATTGAAGAACAGAGAAATAGTTGCATAGGTCCCTACAAATCTGAGAAAGATAAGTCAAGTCCTTCTCTAGAGAATATAAAAGAGCTAGTACTGAAACTGCTTTCTGCCACAGATCAGTATCTCAAGTCACTGAATGTACATTCATATGACCTTAAAGATGATTTTGAGGTAGTATAATTAAAAAATAATAGCATTTCTGAACCCAAGGGTATTAGGGAGCACATTTACACAAATTAAACACAGCAAGGTATTTTCTCCAGTTAATGATGTCGTGTTATTCATGAGAAGGGCAACTTGAAGGCAGCAGGCTGAAAATGGCAAGGATATGACCCTATTCAATGCACGGCGAACAGCCAGCTCTGCAGCAGGAAGGCGGCTGAAAACCACTGTGATGACTGACTGTGCTGCACGCTCTGCGTAACCAGACACGAATGCTGAAAAGCTGCTCAGCGTGCTCATCAGGAATTCTCAACATGTGATTCTTATTTTGGCTTTATAGCTGTAAATTTTTCTTTCATTATGCCTGCGTATATTTTTTAAATGGCACTTACGATGTTACACACCTAACTTGCTGGAGTGAGAAGCCAAAGAAATGGAACCAAAGAACACAGCTGGCAGTTTTTACCATAAATATATTAAACTTTCATCTTCTAATTAAGTGTGATTTCTTTCACTATATTTCCCATTACTGAATTAAAACTCATTTTCCACTATTACCATACACACACACAAATTCATTTATGCCACAGTAGAAGCCTGTTCTATCCTAGTATCTTCCAAGTGTTAACTGGGTAATTACTTTGAACTTATTACTAGAAATATTTTTAAATAGTGAATAACATCAATATTTAAATTCTGGATTAAAATTTAAAAATGGATATAAGAGTAGCTAAAACAAAATAACTGGTACAAATATAAAATCATTAATACTTTTAAAATGCAACAACCACGAGAGTACACGTATAAACTGGGAAAATACCATAGTTTTGAGAAAAAGCCAAAATATCTTGAAATTTAAATATTAAAAGGGAGAGATGTTTTCATGCATGGGTTTTTTCCCCAGCAGTAATAATAAAGATGAAAAGAAACAGTTCTGTTTCTACCACGTAAATTAGCATTTTTCTGTGTTGTCAGAGGTATAATCGAATAACTCAATGCAAAAAACATCATTAGGAAGAGAACGATGGCTAAAATAATTTTCTGTGAACACCTGCTTCTTATTTCCACTTTATATTAATAAGATTTCTGTTGCTGTTCTTGTGTGTATTTTTTTAATGACAGTGATAATGTTACATGTGTAACTTGCCTGAGTGAGAAATGAAAGGAACAGAACCAAAGGGGTCTTCTGGAGGCTGATTATGTGGAGCGGAAAGTGGGTCTACATTCTTATCTGAGGATGCTCTCTCCTCGAGCCTGTCTGCAAAAATAAGATGAAACAAAATAAAAAATAAAATAAAATAAAAATGGCCTTTAAATCAAAAAAGTGATACACAGCATAAATAAAAGTGAAAACTAAACAAATCAACAGTCTTTTTGATAAATAGTAGATTCAGAGTCCATTAAAGTTTTAGGGGGGAGTCCTGAGTTTAACAAATATTTGTTACTACAAAGGCAAGTTTAACAATATAATCAGTGCCAGTTTCACTAAATACAATTAACCTAATTAATAACTAACTTAGACTGGTCCATTTAAACCCTAATTTTCTTAAAGTTGTAACATACTGGACCTGAACTTAAATCCTGTTCACTAAACACAGACGTATTTGGCAATTCCTCCAAAATTACATATAGAACAAACATTACAAATGGTATTCATCTATAAAGTAGTTAAATCCTATCTGTCAACAGCAATGATAAATAATTCACTATATTTTACCTTACTGTTTCTCACAGTACTTTATCAAACCATTCACACACACGCATAGATACAGAGACACAGATTACAAACCAAATTTATTCATCTAACAAATATTTCAGCACCCAATTTGTGCCAAGCCCAGTTTACGCAATTGGCAATGTGACATCAAACACTACATAAAACGGTGACCTCCGTTCACGTAGTTTGTATGCTGGTATGAAAAAAACAAATATTAAGCAATGAGCATAGTAAAAAATGTATGCAATGTGTTAAAAACTAACAAAGCTATGGAGAAATTGTGCAGTGCGTGGCCCTAGGCATTGAGGAGGGCAGGCGGAGGTGCAGTACCAGATTCTACTAGTTACTAAGTAAGGAAAGACTGTAAAGAAGCCAAGAAGCAGACACCTGGGGAAGAATGCCCAGGCCCAGAAAGGGCTGGAGCCACGACGCTACAGCAGCAACAGGACCGGTATGTTTGAGGAAGAATTCGTGCATCCTAATTCCCTAGTAGTAATTACTTTCTCCCTCCTCTTAAAATCTCCACATAATACAAATATATCAGTTGAAAATGTCCTGATTTCTAGCAAATGTCTTCCTTTGATTCTTAGCAATCAAAATTCTACTATTTGGGACTTACCCTTCCTCCATTTCCATATATTTTAGGTATTCCTAAAATGAGAACTTTGGTCCACAACTATTCATAAAAATCTAGTTCATGGTTAGGCTGACCTATATTCAAAAATTCTCTGGGTAAATTATGCTAGTCGCAATTGGGTTCTAAGGAAGTGTATGCAGAGAGGAGTGAGGGAATCCAAATAGAATTGGAATTCTCTAAAAAATAGGCCTGTAACTTTAGAATAAAGCCAAAGTGTCAAGTTTGAGCAGAATCCCCCATGACAGTGCTTCTCAAAATTGGTGCACATTTCAATCACCTGAGGAATTGTTAAAATATAGATCTGACTGGGAAAGTGCAGGGAGGGTCTTGAGCTTCTTTCTGCTAAAACTGTTGTCCGAGAAGCACACTCTTGAGAACGCAAGGCCCTAAAGCAGAGATTTGTCACTGGTGGGCCGCACAAATTTCTATTTTGATCAATAATTTAAGTGTGTTGCAGAAGTTTTAACTATAGGTTCAAGTGTGCCATGAGATAACAAAGGTTGAAAAACACTGCCCTACAGTCTATAATATCCTAAATATAATCACTCCCACGGACAACTATTTTAAAAGCTTTATGGCAACAGATACAATCACCTGCTATTACAGCTAAGATGACCTCTACAATAGCCATGTGAAACTTAAATTGTACTAAAAATTTTATGAAACACTAATATTTTGATAAGGCACTAGTGCTGAGTACTGAACAGATCTGACAATTGATTTATGAACAAAACTTCCTAAACTTAAGTGCTGCTTTTCTTCTTTTCTCTCTTTCCTCTCTCCCTCTCTCTCTTGAGACTGTCACCCTGGGTAGACTGTATCTGGTCAAGTGCTCTGATGTCACAGCTCACAGCAACCTCAAATTCCTGGGCACACTTGATCCTCTTGCCTCAGCCTCCCACGGTAGCTAGGACTACTTGCCTAGCTAGTTTATCAGTTTTGTTTGTTTTTTGTTTTTTTGGTAGAGGTGGGGGTCTTGCTTTCTTTTTTTTTTCTTTTGAGAGAAGAGTCTCACTCTGTTGCCCTCAGTAGAGTGCCATGGCTTCACAGCTTACAGCAACCTCAAACTCTTGGGCTTACGCAATTGATTCTCTTGCCTCAGCCTCCCAAGTAGCTGGGACTACAGGTGGCTGCCACAATGCCCGGCTATTTGTTGTTGCTACTACTTTTATGTAGTGTTTGATGTCATTGTTATTTAGCTGGCCCACACTGGGTTCAAACCTGCCACCCTCAGTGTATGTGGCTGGCGTTGTAACCACTGTTCTATGGGCACCGAGCAAGGGGTCTTGCTCTTTCAGGCTGGTCTCCCAACTCCTAAGCTGAAGCAATCCACCCACCTTGGCCTCCCAGAGTGCTATGATTACAGGCAGGAGCCACCGAGCCCAGCCTTAAGTGCTACTTTTCAAATCCAATTCTGCAATGGATAACAATAAAAATTTATTTTAGTTATTTTTTAAGATAACTGTGTACTTAATTCAGAAAATCAATTATAAATGTTCACTGTACCATAGAAATCCTTTTCTTATTTCAATGTCAACACACTTATTAAAGAGAAGCCAGTCTCATACTATCTTTCTGAAAAATGTTGGCAAAAATTTATCTAACAAAGGATCCCTAACTTATTGTGGTGGGAAGCCACATCAAACTGTAAGGAAAGGCTTAAGATTCACTGAGACACGAAGGTTCCTGTAATTACCTATTTTATTAGGCCCCGAATACATTTAAAGAATATTACATTACAGAGGTTATGCCTAACATTCTCCACTCTCTCAGCTCCGTACGTATAAACATTGAGGACAGTGAACAGAGGGAGTGCAGAAGAAAAAATGGTTTCCCTGACTCACAGTGACAGCCATCAGCATCCAAGGACCCTCACTCTTGAAAATCAAGACCAAGAGTATATAAGTACTTGGGTATGAATCAGAATCACACTTTCTTCTGAAACTACATCATAACTGTCAGGGATCTTATATAAAATGTAGTTTCCCTGGGCCTCATCACAAATCTAATGAATCAGATTACATGAGTGGTAACTTGGGAATGTCAATTTTTATATATTCTTCCTATTTACAAACCAGTACTGGACCAATGGCTCCAAGCTAATAAAAACTACAAAGTCAAAGTCATCATCACTACGGCTCTTTGAGAGTTTTCTTTTTTTCCTTTTTTAGGGGCAGAGCCTCACTTTATTGCCCTTGGTAGAGTGCTGTGGAGTCACAGCTCACAGCAAGCTCCAAATCCTGGGCTTAGGTTATTCTCTTGCCTCAGATTCCCGAGTAGCTGGGACTAGGGCCAGGTTTGAACCGCCACCCTTGGTATATGGGGCCGGCGCCCTCCCCACTGAGCCACACGCACCACCCAGGGTGAACTAATTTTTATATAGGAGTTTTCATGAGCAAAAATACAGAGATACTTCTATGCCAACTTCACCTATATGATTATTTCAAAATAGGATACAGAATAAAATCCTAATAAAACTGAATCATATTATCATTATTCCACAAAATAATTTTTCAATAAAATATTTTTAAAATCATTTATATATCTGAAGTTCATAATAATCTGGTTCTCAAGACACAAAATGCAAAATAAATATAATTTTTTAAATTACTACCTATAAACAAAAACTAATGAAGTATTTAATGTCAAGATACTTTTCCAATAAATAGTTAACCCTAAAATGTACTTAAGTATATTTTCAAATGATTGCTTTCCTTTAGCACCCAGCTTAAGCCAGATGTGTCCACTGTAAGGAACTTACCTCCTCCTGCCTTCCCAAAAGAATTGTGTTGGTGAATAAGAAAACATCTTTAAAATTTTTAATTGATACAGATGGCAAAAATGCAGAATGTAAAAATCCTAGAATCAAAGTATATTCCCTAATATCCTCACAAAATTAAAATGCTCTAACAAGTTAATTCTGCTGCATACACGGATAACTGCCCAAAAGACTAAAGGTTAATAAAATAAGACTTAACACCACAGTCTCCACGTGATATTTCTGAAACTATTCTAATATAATTGAAAAGTTCTGCACTGAAAATAGTAAGAGGTCTGAATTAGCTGAAACAGGGGAGGAATATTTTACAATAAGCTAATTATAGATTCAAGTGCTTATATCTATTTTATTATGTGGCTTAAATGGAACAAGTAATGGATTCAGTAGAATTTGCAAAGCAATCAGTCATTATCTTCTAGTCTTCCTTTTCTATCAGTTAATCTAATGCAACTTTAAATAGAAACAAATCTGCCATCAAAAAAGAAACATTACATTAAGCATCCTTTAATTAATATGTAAAACTACACAACTATTTGAACCAATGTAAGTTAATAATTTTCCCAAAGCAAAAAAGAAACATTACATTAAGCATCCTTTAATTAATATGTAAAACTACACAACTATTTGAACCAATGTAAGTTAATAATTTTCCCAAAGCAAACATCTGTATTCTAATTATTATTCAATGTATTAAATATTTTGACAATTTTAATTATATTTACTTTAATATTTAATATGGCAATGTTAAATTGACAAAATTATTTTATTATTTAATATGATATTAAATATTATGACAACTGGATTTCAAAGGTTTACAAACTAATCTATAGGTTTTGGTACAAAAAGACAATAAAATGCAAGCTTAAATGTTTAAAAAATATGAGGCTCAGCACCTGTGCCTCAAGCGGCTAAGGCACCAGCCACATACACCTAAGGTGGTGAGTTCGAAGCCCAGGCCCGCCAAACAACAATGATGGCTGCAACCAAAAAATAGCCAGGCATTGTGGTGGGCGCCTGTGGTCCCAGCTACTTGGGAGGCTGAGACAGTAGACTCTCTTGAGCCCAGGAGTTGGAGGTTGCTGTGAGCTGTGATGCCACAGCACTCTACCCAGGGGGACAGCTTGAGGCTCTGTCTCAAAATAAATAAATAAATAAATAAATAAAAAATATCATGAGCTAGGCTTTATTACTAATGCTTACATTTAATCTAATGTTTTTGTCTTAAATAAGAATGGGTAAAAAAAATTCTGAAACCATAAATGATATTCATTTACAATGGAAGCAAAAGCAAGAAAAATTTAGTTTATTCTATACGGTAAGTCCTTTGCTTTTGGTATATGGAATCATTTTCTTAATAACATGAAAACAAAGCTGCTACTAATTAGTATTTAGAATTTGTGTAACAAAATATGATTTTAAAATTATCTTCTCAATAATACACATAAATATTTCACAGTTAGCATACTTTTTTTTTTTTTTTTGAGAGAGAGTCTCACTCTGTCACCCTAGGTAGAGTGCCGTGGCACCACAGTTCACAGCAACCTCAGTTTCTCGGGCTCAAAAGATCCTCTTGGCTCAACCTCCCAAAGGCACCCGCCACGACATGTGGCTAGTTTTTCTATTTTTAGCAGAAAGGGAGTCTCCCTCTTGTCAGGCTGATCTCCAGCTCCTGGGCTCAAGCAATCCATCCACCTCAACCTCCCAGAGAGCTAGTATTACAGGGGTGAGCCACCAGGCCCAGCCTCCTTTTCCGGGGGGAGTGTTTGGCCGGGGCTGGGTTTGAACCCACCACCTCCAGTATATGGGGCTGGGACCCTACTCCTTTGAGCCACAGGTGCTGCCCACCTCTAAGTCTTTTTCTTTTCTTTTTTGTTTTTAAACAAGCTGCCATGAATCATTTCTAAAATAAAATCTCAAATAACAGTGTACAAAGTCAAATAATTAAGTTTGTGACGTCATCCTAGAAAAAGTGCCAGAGACCTCACTGCTGAGTATCAATCACTACAGTCACCTCTGAAGTGCCCCCTCTGCAAAGCCACGCACCGCAGCCAAGGCCTAGTCTGCTCTTCACAGCAATTCTGGAACTCCTTCTCTGGAATGGCCATCAGAACTGTCCTTGGAGGAGGTCTGACAATTAAGTTTGTGAACTCATCCTAGAACCAGTGCTGCCCACCTCATTGCTGAAGATCACTCCAGTCACCTCTGAAGTGTTCCCCTTGGCCATCTGGTGACTGGAGTGATCTTCAGCAATGAGGTAGGGAGCACTGACTCTAGGATGAGTTTAATTCATTTACTAAATGTGCTCATAAGACCAGTTACCTAAAATAGAAACTAAGAACTTAATTGTCAGACCTCTTACTCTAACAGCTCTGATGGCCACTCCAGAAGAAAAGTTCCAGAATTGCTTTGAAGGGTGGCCTAGGCCCTGCCTTGGTGCACAGCTTCCCCGGGGGGTACCTCGAAGATGACCGTAGTGCAGTGAAGTATACAGCTCTTTTTCTAGGACGAATTTGCAAACCTAATTGTCCAACCTTGTGTTATTCTGAACATGGACCCTGCTTGTATTTTTAAGGGCTATATAAAGGTTTCCACTGTCTCACTAGAGAGCATTTCATAAACCATATATAAATTATTTTAGAAAGGACTTTGGAAATTGTTAATGAACATCTATGATAAGAAAAAGATATAAATATTCAATTTGGCATTTCAAATGCATTAATAATTAATTTATTCATTTCAGAAAAAGGTGCTAGGGGCAGAAGAACCGGTAACATCCGACCATCCATGTTCACAGCATAGTTGCTCTTCTACTGAAATCCTTAAGGTTCTGGAAGAGGTCTTTGCCAATCTGTATAGCAGAAACCCTATCAAATCTACATCAACTATACCTTACTGCATGTGAATGAAAGTAGTACTAAAGACGAATAAATATCACAGGTGAGTAAAACTTCAGGAGAAAATCTTTCTAAACTACATGTTATTTTATAATAATTACAAACTGTACTAAAGACATTTCAACTTTTTTGAATCCTGTAATGATGACTACTGATTATTATAAGAGAAATAATTTTCCATCCCCTTCCTTGTTGTCATTTACCACTTCTGCTGTTGACGTGTTTGCCCACAAAGCCCCTCCCTTTTCTTTTTTTCAGACAGAGCCTCAAGCTGTCGCCTGTGGCATCACAGCTCACAGCAACCTACAACTCCGGGGCTTAAGAGATTCTCTTGCCTCAGCCTCCCAAGTAGCTGGGACTACATGTACCCGCCACAATGCCCAGCTATTTTTTTTGTTGTTGTTATTGTTGTAGTTGTCATTGTTGTTTGGCAGGCCCGGGTTGGGTTCAAACCCACCAGCTCTGGTGTATGTGGCTGGTGCCTTAGCCGCTTGAGCTACAAGCACGGAGCCAACACAAAGCCCCTCCTAATTTGTTTTTTTAAATTACCACTGAGATACCTGATAATGTAGATGTAATTTTTAAATGCCAAAGCTCAAAAACACCTTAAGTCAGAGGCCAGAACTTCTATAGTTAGTGAGGAAAGGGAAAGTACCATTTATTTATTGAATGTCTGGACTTAATAAATTATTTCACTTAATTCTCCTGACAGCCCTATGAGACAGACATCATTATTCCCTGTTTATAAATGAGAAAGTGAGACAAATAGTAGTTGACCAGCTTAACTGAAATTACAACCCAGTTTAAACAACATTTTCCAGGATCAGAATTCTTATGTGCCAAATTAAGTGCACAGCCTTGCCATAGTGATTTCAGTGGCCTGGGGACCACGTGGCATGGGTTTTCAAGTGGCTGAAGTTGCTCCAGCTCCGACCTCCTCATAAAATTCCTCTTGCACTTTCACCTGGAACTTACTACCTTTTCGTAATTAATACTGCGATGGAGTATGAATGTTCTTTGGCACACACATATGCACACGCACACAGATCTATACACACAAGTTACAGAGTTATGTGACCTTGAAGTTTGAAAGTAAATAGTTGGTCAAGAACCTGACACACTCCATTTATGAAATTATATACATACAGGCATATTCACAAACCATTCTTGCCCATGCTAAATAAATAAAACTTGGGTATTATGACAAATCCTAGGGAGCTTAGAATAACATATTTTTATAACATACAAAATAATGAGACTACTCATTTTCATATTGCTTTCTTTAAAGTATTTTTTACCCAAGGAGTTGAAAACATTGAATTTAGCAAACCCTTGTCAGAACACATTCAATTAATACCTTTTGATTTAAAAATAATCCTTCAAATTATAATAATTTGGTTACTCTCTAAATCTCCCCTGCCATCCCTCTGAAAGAAAAGATATGTTATTTGTTTTTTAAAAACCTTACTTTGGGGCTACTCAACATAAAAAATACCAAACAAAATAGCTGTGGTTTAAAAAACAAATTTTTTTTAATAAGATTGGTTTTACCTTAGTTAACAAACCTTTATTAAGGGCTCAGAAGTTATTTTTTTATCTACATGTAATCATCAATTTTCATAATTATATATCCAGTATGTAAAATACAAATTTAAATCCTAACTATTCTTACATGAATTCAGGGCATTTATAAATTTTACATAAAATGTATACCAGTTTAAAACAAAGCAATTCATCTATTAAATGCTCTCATAAGGCCAGTTACCTAACTAAAATAGAAACTAAGAAATATAAACCAGTGACTCTACAGACCTTCTTTTTACATGCGTGAGGGAGGAGGGCAGTTTGCTCCTATTTTGCAACCCCCTTCCAATACCCACAACCCCCTTCCAATACCCACAATCCCCTTCCAATACCCACAACCCCCTTCCAATACCCACAACCCTCCTCCAAAAAGGAACATTTCAAAATACACATGGCGCAGCGTGGCATATACAGTAGGTAGTTTGAGGAAAGGCAATGATTCCAAGTAAAAACATTGAGATATCTGATTTAAAGTGAAAAATAATTTATTTAACTTTTGCTAGATCAGGACAACAAAGCAGCCCCTTTGTCACTATTCATTACAAAACATTAACATAATGTAGAAAGCCAGGTTTCCTTTCAGGCATTTTCAAAGGGCATCTCAGACTCACAATATTTTCTATTGAGTGTGCAAGAAAACAGAGCTGCAAAATGATTAGAAGGTAAGATAATAACATCTCCCTTTTATTTGAACATAAATCTTCCATTTTGGAGATAGGAATTTAACATTCATAGATATGCAATATTTAAGTGTTAGGATATCAGCACACTATCAGCAATCTTGAGTTTAATAGGGATGATCAAGCAATTGATTTCTAAATCACGTGACACAGTTTGATAGGATGTGGCATATGTAAAAGAAGATGGCCTGAATTTTGCCCTCAAATGCACAAAAAGAATTTTCTACATACCACCTCAAAAACAGTCTTTGGCACTGCTGAATAACAATAGAGCTGTTATTTTACTGTGAAGCAAAATAAGCCTTCAAGTGTCCCTTACTTGATCTTAGAAGGTCAAATTCTCTGTCCAACAGTTCCTCCTCTGTTAACTTGGAGAAATTATCCTCTCCAAAAGGATTCCACCCTGACATGTCAGGTGGATTACTGATGTTCTTCTGATTTGTAAAATTTGCAACGGCCTCTTTATCAGCAACTGACCTATAGTAATCATTGAAAAAAGAAAAAAAATTATAATGAATAAAAATTTACAGTACTCTAGTTCATACAATACTTTATAAATGCTTCGAAAACCAGATCATTCATTATGGTGGCGATGGCAGATAAGGATGTGGGATGGAGAAAGAGAACGTGTGGAACCTGGATTTTCTCCATAAGGTACACTCTCCCCATCCTCACCTACACGAGGTATGCTGGCTGTGTACCTTCAGGCAAGTTCCTTCCCCTCCCTCTACCTCAGCTTCCTCATCTCTAAAAAAGAGTAACAGTATCTACCTCTCTACCTCGTAGGGTGCAAAGGAAAGAAGACACTATTTAGGTAGAAATAACCAGGTAATAAATATTCGCTGCTATTACAACAATGAACAAGCTTTAAAATGAACATCAGTTACCCTATCAAACAGTATCAGTTCAAAATCACTATTGAATACAATGTTCTGATTATGCTGAGACACCACAATAATTTTCCTTTTAACAAAAGTATTCCCTTCATGCCCTAAGACAGGTGTGCCATTATTTACCTTTTATATAGTCACCAGCAAAAGATGAATTGCTAGGACTCCTTTATAAATTAGCTCACACAGTGTTGGGGAACCTGAGGCCTTGGAGTCACATGGGGCCTTCTGGATCTTTGAGCATGGCCTTTTAACTGAATCCAAATTTTACAGAACAAATACCTTTAATGAGATTTTATTCTGTGAGGTACCACATATATGATGGTGGTCTCATAAGATTATAAAGGAGCTGAAAAATTGTGATTGCCCTGCGACCTCATGGCCACTGTTACAGTGTAGCACAATGCATTACTCACACATTTCTGACTATGCTGGGGTACAGCGCTGCCAGCAATATAAATGCGTTGTAATACAATTATGTTTAGTATGTAATACTTGCTAATAAACAACTATATTACTGGTTTATGTACTACTATACTTATCATTATTTTATAGTGTACTTCTACTTATTAAAAAAAAGTTAACTGTGAAATGGCCTTAGGCAGGTCCTTCAGGACATAGTCCAGTAAAAGGCACTGTTATCACAGACAATGTCGAGGTGAAAGACAGTGATATGATAATCCTGCCCCATGTAGTTCGAGGCTAATGTGTGTGCTTATGCCTTAGTTTTAAACAAAAAGGGCTTAAAAAGTAAAAAAGTAATATACAAAAATTAAAAACAGAAAAAAATGCCTGTGGAATAAGTATATAAAGAAAAAAATTTTTGCACAACTGTACAACTATGTTTGTGTTTCAAGCTAAGGTAACAATAGTTAAAAAGATAAACAAAAATTTAAGTTTATAAAATAAATAAATTATAATAAGCTAAGATTAATTTATTGTTGAAGAACGACATTTTAGAAAATAGTGTTTATAAAACCTACGGCACTGAGCAGTAATGTCCGAGGCCTTCACATTCACTGATTCACCCAAACCAACTTCCAGTCCTTCCAAGCTCACGCCCTAAAGCAGGTGTGCCATTTTTTATCTTCTATACTTTTGTCTTTTTACTGTACTCTTTCTATATTTATAAACATATGTACTTAACACTGTGTTACAAGTGCCTACAGTTTTCAGCAGGATTACATTCTATACAGGTTTAAAGCTTAGGAGCACCAGGCTATCCCTTACAGCCTAACATGCAGAAGGCATACCCTGTAAGTTGGTGAAGTACACTCTAATATTCACACAACAGTAAGATAAGATCAACTAAGAACTCACTTCTCAGAACATACTCTGTTAAACAACTC